GAAGTAAGTCACGGTGTGGAGAGAGACTGGACAGCCAAGCGTTAATGCTCATATCTCCCAAAAAGAGCTCACCAAGTAAAAATGAGTAAAGCGACAGTCATTCCAATAAGAAAAGGAAGTATGAAATGAAACGCAATGGGCTGACGAACGTATAAGAGATTATACGTCCAGTTTACCTACCAGACAAACACATGCCAGGACGAAGCACACTGTGGTGGTTTTTTTTCATCTAACAAATCATCCAGGATTAAAACAGCTGTCCAGTGTTTGGGAGGTAAATGCTCACTCAAAAAGCACTTACCGAGAGGTGAATCGGTGCAGCCTTTTCACAGTGCAGCTTGCGCTTCGATGTCAGGTCTCCACACTGTGCGCCCTGTGGGACTGGCCACCCCCCACCCTGGGCATCTGCCTCGTCCTAACTTTGCCCCTTTTCTCACGTTCTCCCCACTCTGACCTCGTGCGTGATGATCAGCCACTCTGTCTCGCCCTCCGTGCTCTGCTCTCCCCTTCCCCGGATCAGCCTCTCAGAGGCCTCTTCTAGAATGCTCTCCCGTGTGTTGCTGCGTAAGGTCCGTCGTGCACACTTCCTGTCTCCTCGTCTGCCCTCCAGACCATGAACTTGTCAGGGGCGGGGCCGTGTCTTGCTCACCCTGGTACCCTCCCTAACCAGCACACGGAGGCCCCGTCTTGAGTAAAAGAACGAACAGATATCTGCACAGTTCACTGGACAAGTCAGAACCCCCGTCCAGATGGCCGCGTGAGCCCTGTCCTGCTGCACGTCAGTTAAGGGTGTGTTTACGTGCCTCGCGGACAGCGTTGACCTCCAGGCTGTTCCCTTAAGGTGACTTATGGGTGGCTTGATGTTCACTAGGGTGACTGCAGAACTGGAGTTAGCCACAAGATGGAGACTTTATCCTAGTCCTGAAAAACATTCCAGCTCCCGGAATTTCTGTACTTACGGTCTCAGAATGAAACGCCTTCGTTCGTTTCTCGTCCAGCCGCAGGCCCCGTCTGTGAGATGGTAAACCTGAGAGCCAGAGAGGCCGCTGAATCCGGTCTCAGCAGGCAAGAGGGAGGGATTCTCCTGCTGACCTTGAAGGATAAACGGCTGAGACACAAACTGCCCGCGGGCAGGGCCACATGGCAGGGGAGGCGGGAGGGCAGACTGGTTCGGGGATTTCGACTGGATTTGGAGGAATTCAAATGGGATGAAGGTGGTGGTTCCATTCAGTCTCTTTAACAAGATGGCTCAACACCTCCTGGACCCGTCTCCCGGCCCCCCGGATGAGATGGGGTTGTCGGCAATGGGACCGTTGCTGCTTTTTCTGGCCTTGAAGGTAGTCTCTTCAGCTGTCATTGCATCTGCAGGTGTCTCTCCAGCCTGCGCCACCCACGGAGCGGGGCAGGATCTGGGGTCAGCTGATGATCACAGAGAAAGGCTTTTTCCAGTCGGGGACTCTGAAGGCGAAGCGGACAGTTCTGGCTCCGGCATTCCGAAGCCAGTCTCTCCAAGCCCAAGATGACAGGAGCTGTCGTCTCAGAGTGGCCTTGCTCCAGTCACTTATCGTCACTGAGTCTCAGAGTCTGGAAACGAAATGAGGCCGTGTGCATCACACCCCACCCCCACCCCCACCCTGGGATGACCTCATTTCACCGTGGGCACGTTCTCCGGCAAGGCCAGACAATGAGACATCAGTCGTGTCCTGTAGAACCAGAAGACAGAGGGGTGAGAGGTGTAACGTCGCAGCGTGTGGCCATCAGTGGGTCCAGGAGTGGGCATGGGGTTCACGCAGGACAGTCTCTTTTGTGAACGGGCAGTGGGGAGGGCCCTGCCTCTGGTTCGAGGGGTTGGAACCCTCAGACTCTCTCAGAGCCGTCATCTGCCAGGGTCCTGGGTGGCTCCTGCTGGGGGCCCCTCGTCCCCACGTGGTGACCTTGCCATCCAGACACAGCGAACACTTCTTTGGGTCTACTCAGCCCAGACGGGATGTTCTTTTCTCTGTTCCTGTTGTGTCCAAGCTGAAAACGACGGGCAGGGTCCATTCCCCGCTCGCATTTCGTCCAGGTCCAGGGTAGAGAAGGACATTGCTTCTGTCCTCGTTGCATTAGACACCAAGCAGAAGGACAGAGGAGTTAGTGCACGTGCTTTTTTTCAGCTCCTCCCCGGGGAGGAGTGAGTCCCTGCCAGAGCTCTGTTCTGTTCCACACCATCCAGCCAGTCAGCTTCTCGTGGGGATAAATCTCTGGCCTGTGCAGCCAGCCCTCCCGTTTGCCAGCTCATGACGCTGCCGTCTAAAGGGACCAGCCCGGGCTGGACACTGGGTCTCCTGGGGCACGGAGACGAGGAAGGTTATGACGAAGGGTCAGCCAGAGAGGCAGAATTCTAATACAGATGGATGGGTCCTGCTCAAAAAGGAGCTGGTTTGTGTAGCCTCGTTCCGTTCATCTGGAGAGGCTTTCGCATGACCCCTGCCCTCCGGGAGCCAAGGAGCTCGCTGGAGCCAGGCCGGGCTATGACTGACGGCCGCCTGCCTGAGCGGCGGGCCCTGAGGGCTGCCTTGCAGAGCCGCTCGGCTGGCCTTGCCGCTGCCCATCCGCATCGGGGCGGCTGGACACTGGTGTTGCATCTGCTTCATCTCCTGCACAGTTCGTAGGAAGATCATGAACCCGCAGGAAAGAACAGAGGCCAGATATATGAGAACGATACTGCAAGGCTCAGGCTGGCCGTTGGGGTCGAGAAGAGCCAGGAGGTTCGCCTCGACGGCCTCGCAGGACGGCCCGTCAGAGTCAGCGTTGATGAGGCTGCCATGGAGACGGCGTCACGGTAACAGCTGTACGTAGCACGCAGGAGGTGCTCGGTAAATGCTGGCTTTGTCCTTATTATCCCACGGCGTGAGAGGGAAGGCGGTTCGCGTGGAAAAATCGCATTCGAGGAGGAGGTGACACTCGCAAAGGAGGCTGAGAGCGGCTTTTTCTCCTGCGCTTGACGCTCCTATATCTCCTAAGTCACCTTGAATTTTGTAATAGTTTTGGGTTTTTAAAAAATTGTGGCAGTAATGCAGAGCCTCCACGTGTCCACAGCCAGGCTCTCCTGTTATTATTCATATCTTGCATAAGAACGGCACATTTTCACAATTGACGAGCCCGTTATCACTGATTAGAATCCACACTTTATTTGTGTCTCCTTAGCTTTCTTTTCTGTGCTCAAGGACCCCACCCGCGTGTCCTGCATTCCAGCCCGTCGTCATGTCTCTGGGGAGCCCTCCTGGCTGTGCCGGCTCGTCAGACTTGCCTCGTTGTTGACCTCGACAGTTCGGAGGGTGCTGATCAGGTCTGTGGTAGAACGTCCCCCCATTAGCTCTTGTCTAGTGTTTTTCTCGTGGGTAGACGGGGTTATGAGTTTGGGGGACAGAGAGCACAGAGGTAGGGTGTCCTTCCCATCGTATCATCCCCAGGGCGTGTGCTGCCAGCAGGAGTCCTCCCTGTCCACGTCGACCTTGACCGCCTGGCCGAGCAGCGTCCGTCGGGTTTCTCCGCCGTAGAGTTCCTCCCCCTTTCCTCACACCCTCTTCTGCTAAAGGAAGTGACCGTGCCGTCCACACTCAGCGAATGCGGGGAGCCCTTTGAAGAGGAGGTACCGCCATGCAGTATTTAGAATTCTTCCGCATTGGAGCTTTGTCTCTGCTCTTCCAATTATTTATCTGTTCAGCCATTTATTTCTATTGCTATGGACTCGGAGACATTTATTTTATATTCTGTGTTTTGATCCAATGCTACTTTGTTTGTGGCTGAGACGATTCCCACGTTGGCCACCGGAGCTCTCCCAGTTGGCTCCGGGCCCCCACGGGGCGTGTCCTTTGTTCTCTGGCACCGTACGATGTCCCAGGCTCATCTTAGGGGTTTCTCGCCCCGGTCACAGGATCACGCATTTCTCCCACGGATCCCTGGTTCGTTCTCGATGAATGGTATCAGAGACTCGGATCTGGGTACAAGGCTCGTTCGCCGAGACTGGGCTGTGGTTGGTCCTTGGCCCTTCCCAATGATAGAGCAAAGACGTACGTGTGCTCCTCTGTCAAACATCGGTCGACTGTGTCGTGCGGGTTTATTTCTGAGGCGGTTCTGCCCACTGATCCGTGTGTCTGTTCTTCACCCATGCCATCGGCTCTCCTGATGGCAGTAGCGTCACAGTCGGTCTTGGAACTGGGGAGTGTGCGGCCACCAGTTTTGTTCTTCACTATTGTTTTGTGTTGGTTATTCCACGTCTTTTGCCTTTCTCTGTAAACTCTCGAATGCGTTTATTGATTTATACAAAATAGCTTCCTGAAATTTAGATTGAGATGCTGTTAGTCAGTAGATCAGTGTGGTGAGCATTGACATCTTGATAATATTGAGCCTTCCAATCTATGAATGTGTAATATTTCTCCCATGTATTTAGATCTTTTATTCTTTTCATTGGTTTTGCAGTTTTTCACATATAGATCATGTACTTATCTTGACAGATTTATACCTAATTATTTACCTTTTTTGGGGTTATTGTAAATAGTATTATTTTTTTAATTTCAAACTCCTATGGGTCATTGCTTGTATGTAGAAAAGCAGTTGACTTTTTATGATGATCTTTATCCGGCGACCTAAGTGGGGAGGGTGGG